AGGACGGCTTCAAGATTTACCGTTGATCGTACAATCAACTCGAAGATATATCTTTGGAGGGGTAACCCTTGGAATCTCGAGGTGGATGCTGTAGTTAATTCGACTAATGAGGTGAGTTGTTCATCTGTCATCATCCATGGTTTAGTTTTATATAGATGAAATATACTGTTATAGTGTTATGATGGTTCTTGCAGATTCAGGCATTTTTTTTTTTTTTAATTTATTGTTTCGCTTGTCAACACTATTTAAGCTTTTTCCACACACACACACACAAAAAAAAAGAGAGCGATAGTGAATAGAAATAATTTCACAATCATTAATTGTCAATTGCTTGTGTTGGATCATTGGGTTCTGTTGCATTTGTAATATGGTTAGATATGCATCAGAAATCATACCTTGGTTTGCAGTACTTTTATTCTTTTTTTTTTTGGTGGAATATATTGAACTTTTGGTGCAGTTATCAGCCATTTTGTCGTGATTTTGCCTGTGATTGCTACTGCAGCACCCTCATTAATTTCTCAAAGTTGAAGTTCTCCTTAGATTATGGATGATCCATTTTAGCAAATTAAGGAAGTTATGTTGATTACATGTTATCACGTTAGTGTTTGATACCTTTATTCATGCCATTGGTTATTTATAGCTTGACTACATTACTTCTGATATTGAAAAGTTGCACGTTTTCTTTGTCGTTTGACAGAACTTAGACGAAGCTCACAGCAGTCCCGGTTTGCATGCTGCAGCAGGACCAGGTCTGGCCGAAGAATGTGCCACATTGGTGAGTCATTTTTGCATAGTTTTTGATCTTTGCACCATCGATTGATTTACTTGAAATAATTTTTTAGGAGCTAGAGTTAAAAGTATGTAATTCAAACTGTAATCAGCCATATTAGGATGCTTAAAATTCGTTCTCCACAAATTTGACCACATTAAACAATCCAATTAACTTAGGCATGAGTGTTGTGTAACTTTTCAAGCAAGAAGAAACCAATTTGGTTTTTAATATTTTTTTATAGAACTGTACTGATACAGTAATTTGTCTTTCACTTTTATAGGGTGGCTGCCGAACAGGGATGGCAAAAGTCACTAGTGCTTATGACCTTCCAGCAAGGTGGGTTTTTCAAATTTTTCTCTTTCACCTTGAAAAATCATATTTATATTTGATGACCCAGTATTTATTTACTACATTTTGTGGAGTTCTTTGTATATTGCAGGAGGATTATACATACAGTTGGACCAAAGTATGCAGTAAAATATCATACGGCTGCAGAGAATGCTCTTAGTCATTGCTATCGATCTTGCCTTGAACTTCTCATTGACAATGGTCTTCGAAGGTGGTTCAGAAGTTAAAAATCGAATCTAAATATTTACTAGTATTAATACCCATGTACAACATGGGTGTTGAGTTAATGAATATATGAGTAAAGTTATTTATGTCTAATACCAAATCTAACTCCATAGCAAAAATGATATAAAAACAACATCACGAAGCATAGATTTTCGCCATGTCAGCATCCGAAGCGTGAGAATCTGCCACCTAGACTCAACACGTTTTGAATTAATATATAGGGAGTGATTCCTGTGGCATTTATATATCTGTAAAAAAATTTGGGATTGAAAAATCTTGCTCAATGCGAATGCAGTATTGCTACAGGCTGTATATATACAGAAACCAAGAATTACCCACGAGAACCTGCTGCTCATGTGGCCATAAGTAAGTAAATTTACTAATGAATTTCGTTTATTAATGATGTTCATTTTGCTTTTCTTCATTTATTAAATTTATTTATTTTCTTTGGTTAGGGACTGTGAGACGATTTCTCGAAAAACAGAAAGATAACATAGATGCAGTTGTATTCTGTACTACAACTACATCTGATACAGAGATATATAAAAGGTCTGTTTTTACTGTAACAACCAGTTAACTGACCAAGAAATTACATTTCTATTTACACATATTTTATTTGGTGCTTTTGATTTGACATCTCTAGCTATTAATTGTTTATGCAGATTGCTTCCACTTTACTTTCCGCGTGATAAACTCGAGGAAGAGATTGCTATCTCGAAACTTCCTGCTGATGTTGGAGATGAAAATGGCGAAACTGTCATAGATGAACGCAAAATCCGAATAAAACCATTACCTAATTTGAAGAAGACTATTCCGAAATCTCCTCAAGCCTCTTCGGATCTTCAAGTGACCGATATTATATTGGCACGAAAGTTAGTGACCCAAATATCTGTTCTTTCCTTTAATTTTTTATACTAGCCGCATGTAGCTTTGATAAAATATTCTGATAAAGAAACACGGGCCTTTAGGTGGAGATTCTTTCACTATCTTTTGTTGTGACTTCTAAATATGAAATGATAATGAGTTTTGTCACTGGCATGATTTGAGGACTAGTTTCTCTCTCAAAAGAGTGCCTTTTTTTTATTTCTTCTATTTGTGCCTTTTTTCTAACAGTCTTAATTTAAACAGGGACTCATCGTACTTGGATTCGTATCTGGATCCTGCTTTTATGTCCTTGATCAAGGATCCAGATCAAAGACGCGTAGAGCAATGGGAAAAAGCTGCACAGGCAAGAAATAATTGGAATCTGACGAAGATTCTTGGATATGGAGATCTCGGGGGTCCTCCTTTGTCTGCTGCTGAAGAATATTCTCTCCATTCGAGATATCTTTCTAAAGCAAATTCCCTTAATCTTTCTGACATTGCTGAGATGAAAATCGTGTAAGCGCACTGTGAACTTCTTCTAATGATTCTGAAATAGCTATTCTTAAGAGGGCCTTTTTACTTTTTAGCAACAAAACTCTTTAGTGGCCTATAAAGTTGTAAGGATACATGATATGATCTCTTACTAACCGGGGTTTCTGTGTTAGTCTCATCTATAGAAGGATTCGCCACTATAATTTTTTTATATGGAGAATTTACTCATGAATCATTAGTCAGCTGCTCTGAGATTTGAGAATATGCAATTTTTTTCTTTTTCTTTTTTTTTTTTTTATTTTTTACTTCAGATACCGAGGTGGGGTTGATAGTGAAGGTCGTCCAGTAATGGTGGTTGTTGGAGCACATTTTCTCCTTAGGTGTCTTGATTTAGAGCGGTTTATTCTGTACGTTGTGAAGGTGAATAATATGTTAACTATTGTCTCGGTTTTACATTTGATGCTTTTGTTTTTAATTTATTTTTGCATTTTGTTTTCAGGAGTTCGAACCCTTGATACAGAAGCCATACAGTATTGTTTATTTCCATTCGGCAGCATCCTTGCAAATGTGCGTATTTTCCCTTTAATGTAGATTGCCTCTTCTTGTATGGAATTTGCTGTTTTACTCTTATAATGGATAATAACCAAAAACTTTGAGGTTTTAGCCTAAATTCAAAAAGAAACTATAGAACAAATGGTTATGTTATTAATAAGTTGTTATGGACAATTACAAATGGCAATGGGATATTCGTAAGTTTCATCGAAAAACGGGATTTTCTGCTAAAGCTAAATGTCCTGGAAACTTTTGTAATTAAATCCTTGCATACATACATTTATCTTGAATTTGGTTCACATAATTGTATCTGATTTAACTACAGGCAACCTGATCTCGGGTGGATGAAGAGATTAGAGCAAATTCTTGGTCGAAAACACCAGCGTAATCTTCATGTACATTCTCTCTATCCAAATCTCTCACATCAAAATGTCGATAAATATTTTTTCTTTTTTGCAGTTTACTAATCTCTCGTATAATTGATTTTTACATTTTATGGTGCAGGCAATATATGTCCTTCATCCAACTTTTGGTCTGAAAGCAGCCATCTTCGCCATGCAATTATTCGTGGATGATATGGTAAGCACTAAGCACAATCTTGGATTAATCATTTCAATTATTCAGGTATTATGTACCATTTTTCTCCTTTTTTTTTTGGCCAAATTTGAAAGAAATCGAAAAAAAAAATGATATTCAGGTCTGGAAAAAGGTGATTTACGTTGATCGTCTTCTGCAACTATTCAGATACGTACCTCGCGAGCAATTGACGATACCTGATTTTGTGTTCCAGTGAGTTTCCCCTTTGACGAACTTTTTATTTTCTATTTTTTATTTTTCACGAACATTAGGAGGAAGAGAAAAGAAAAAAGATAATCAATTTTCCGGTAAATTTTGAAATGCGTGCAGGCATGATTTAGAGGTGAATGGAGGGAAGGGTCTGATTATGGATCCAAGAACAAAATATGTTTACCAGAGACCATAAATTGATTCACGAAAGCAGTTCCTGGGTTTACTTTGAATTTAATTTGATTAAAATTAATTATTTTTTCTTTATTTTTTTTATTTTTCTGGTCCTTTTTATTAGCATTTATTTAGTTCTCTCCAAGTCACTGTTGATAGGGTGTAATGAGTTGTGTATTTGTGTATTCAGATGAAATTCTTTTCCTTTTTGTGTCATAGTTTTGAGAATAAAATGTTTTGTTTATACAAGAATTTCTGCCGATTAATTTTGTGGAGTTTTTCTGCTCGACTCATTAAAATTCGAGTTTGATTCGTCATCGTTTATCAACTTGCTTAGTTAACTAGCAAAATTAATCTCATAATCTACCAAAATTTTCTCATAATCTACCAAAATTAATCTTTTATTTGGGAAATTAATCTCAAAATCTACAAAGTACAAATCACACTACTTCATAATTCTCCAAATCAATGCTGTTGTATGTATGTATATATATTAGAAGATAATCAAATATCAGTCTAAAACATTATTATTATATTCTAAACAAAATTTAAGTCTGCAGTAAACCAAAGGACAAACCAATCAACAAATACACCTTTTACGCATTTACATCAGACAAATGAACCATCATCTTCACCCACCCATCAATCTCTCCAAAAACCCATCTTAAATATATATATATATATATATATATATATATATATATATATGAAAAAAAAAAAAAAAATGCACCCTCAGCTCTGCCTCTCTGGATTCAAATGACTGAAATGCCCCTCTCACCATCCCTTATCACGTCAACACGACCGTCGAAATATTACTCGTTGGGCATCTCTGCCTTCTCGGCCGCCTAGTCGTCTTCCCCCACCCGGTCAGCCTCTTTTCCTCCAAACCACCCTCCACCACTCGAAGATTATTATTATTATTATTATTATTATTATTATTATCACCACCACCAATTTGCTTCATCAACAAACTTGCACAAGCCAGGTTGTCAATAGTGGGTCCACATGCAACTTGGGCCGATGCACGTCTCCTGCCCCTACCGGGCCCATTCCTCCTCGTGGGCCCGAAACTCCAAGAATGGCCCGTGGCCCGCATTAGCCCACCGAATATCTGAAGATCCTCTGTCACCTCATGCCTCGAAAGTGTCGTCAGGCCCGGAAGAATGTCCCGCTGGAAATCTTTCCTCTGACGGCCCCTCCGAGTCAGGCCTCGTCTAGACCTCGTTTTCAAGGCATTGGCCTCGTTTTCCTCCTCGGTTTTGAGAATATCAAGCACGAAAGGCTTGGGCATGTAGTCCTCTTCTTTAGTCTCGGCAAGTTCCAATGTCATGGCCTCATATTCATCCACTATTTCATTTCTCCTCAATTTTTCACCCGAGCATGATGAGATTGAGTCTACGAACCAGTTTATTGCCTCGGATAAAGAAACTTCGGGCCGCATGGCTTTATCATGGCACGATGATGACATGGCAAATATTGCTTCGGCCGCATTTTGAAGAATTTCATCTTTTATGGGCTCGTTTTGCGCATTTTCCTTGGAGAGCGAGCTGTCATCCTCACTATCGAGAAAAACGGGAACTTCAAGATCGATTTCTAGTGTTATTTTGACGCTTGCTTGGTAATCTTCAGAGTCACTTAGGCAAGAGTTCAAGTCAATCGAATTTTCTTTTCCTGAAGTAATAAGCTCGTTTTCGGCTATCTGCTCGTCTGGCTCACAAGCTACAACATTTAAATCAATCGACCCGTTCTTTTCTTTGTTAAAGACATTTTTGCCCCCGGAATGATTGATGCTTTCATGAATCTCATCTTTCGTGTGGATCTCTGGCTTCGCGGGAAGCAATGTAACTTTACGATCTGTCACTGGCTTGGGTTTAAGCCAAGGCAAGGATGCCAGCTGGCACACTTCGGGCTTGTTTTCTCCATTTATATTCTGCGGGATCAAGTTAATATCGATCGTGGGCCTTGGGCCCGTTAATAATATGCCGGAACCATGATGGTCAGAGCTAGTCAACGGTGGGTGATTTTGTACGCCTTTGGAAACCGAGGTGGCCATTTTATAAGATTTGTTCAACGTCAGTTCATTGTTTCTTTGGAAAAACAAAGGCTTCGGGCATGTTTCCAATGCGGCTGAGTTTTGGGCCGAGCTACTGGGTTGGTTGCCCCAAGATGAGACGGGACGAGCCCATGAAGTGGTGAAATAAGAGGAGCTATGATTATTCCTGTTGGAAGATTCTAGAATCTGTCGGGGCACATCTCTCGGATTAGTTCCAAGAGGATGGGAAGGTAAAAACATATCTGGTTGAGAATCTTGAGCGGGCGAGTAGTAGTTATTACCCCTAGACGATCCTGAAAGATGGACAATTCACAAGTAAATAAATACATAGCAGAATAATCGCACGGTAATATAGTCGAGCCAAAAAGAATATGAGATAAAGGAAGTTTCACAACATACAAGTCAAACTCCATACACAAACATTCAACTCAATTAATCCATAAAAGAAAACAATTTTTTTTTTTTTTTTTTTTTGTGGAAACAAATGATGAATAGATACAAAAGAATCATGGAATTTCATGAAAAAAATATTTACCTCTCGTATTAGCTTTACTTCCGAAAGATGAATTTGTCGAAAATCCACTGCGCATTTTTACGGTATCACCTAAATAACCCATACTAGACTTATTAGCAAGTTGATCTATTCTCCCTTTATTAGCCTTGATATTTCCAGCACAACCAAGAAAATCAACAGATGATGGTCCCACATCGTCTTCGATCTGAATGGTTTTGTTTAAATCTGCCAAACCACTATTATAACCTGATATATGAGATTCTTTAAACTCTTTTAAATTCTCCCCTTCTTGAATATCTATGTACTCATCAGCTGGAAGTCGAAGATCGAACAATTTCTTCCTTGCCTTTGAGGGCCTCAGGCCTTCGGGGTCTTTTGAAGTCGGCCCGTTTGTTCTTAAGCAACTCGTGTGAGAATTAACTATTTCGACCCTAGAATTTAATAGAGGAAAACCTGCCATGTGCCATTTTCGAGCCTCCAAATGAGAATTGTGATGATTTGATGATGAAGCTGCTGGCTCCATTGAAGCTCGATTTTTATCGATTTTTTCCTTCCTTTTGGCTTCTTCCATCATGTCCCTCTGGATTCTGTATAGACGGTGAAGTTCACACACCTGGAAGCAAAAAGTACTCGAAGCTCTGAAGTTTTTTGCATTATTTTTGTAATATTGAAGGAATCGAAATCGAATGGTTTTATCTTATGAATGTTGTAAAAGAGATTTACTTGTGTGGAAAATATCAAAATGAAGACAGAACTAACGCAATCTTCTATCTTTCCACCAACTTTTATATCCCAGCTAAAATGTACGAAATTAAAAAGGTGAAGTTGGCATTTGAAAAGAGAAAAGAAAAAAAAAAATGTAGTCACTTCATCCTAAAGAGATAGTCCCATTTCTCATTTTCACACAGGTTAAGAAAAGTATTAATGGATATCGAAATATCAAAACCGTATTAAATTTTCCTTCCATACGGTGATTAACTTTAAAAGGTGGGTAATTGCTCGTTTAATAAGGGTAAAAACAAGAAAGAAAATATTAGAACACGACTAACAAAAGAATCAGATTTTAGGTCAATAAAAAATGAGTTTAGGTCAAGATATAACAGTCGCAATCCAAAAAAATTTGCAGGAACTCCATCACAATGAAGGTGTATAACGAAAATATTAAAAAAATAAGGTACCTGGTTCTTAAATACTGCCTCATGTTCGAGCATTTTTTGTTTCAAATCATCCTTTGCATCCCCTGGATAACCATTGTAATGTTGCCCGTTCGGTAAGTTTTTATCCCCGTAAAAAAAATGCCACCTACTATTGCCAAAATTTTCATTAAGATCCCTCATGTAGTAAAATCCAGGCAAGTAGCTTTCCCAGTGTATTTTTGTTCCCATCCCTGTAAAAAAAAAATGTAAACCTAAGTCAACTATTCCATTTTTTTTCAGCAAAATTCGAACTTTTTGCTTCCCGTGCTTTTCATAAACCATATTTAGTGTTAATGATTATAACAAATATGTGAAAAGTAGGATCAAAATGATTATAGGGACTTGATGAAGTAAAATTCTTTATCGAGTCTGACAAATCGACCTGCAACAAAGCCTTTGCCATATTCCTCTGATGAAACACAACGTGTGAGAACACTTAATGAAGAAATAAATGGTGAAGTACAAAAGTAGAAGAAAAAGATAAGCTACAGTGGATCAAAATGGCAAAATCTATTTAATGCTTTGTACATGAGTAGAGAATGGGAAAATTTGACAACTGGTTTACACATAGGAAATTTAATTAAACCATAGCAGTTTGTTTGATTATTTTGGAATCGCTCCATGAACAATACGAATCCAGTTTTAGGCACGAAATCGATAAATTCGAACTAAACCATATTAAGGCACTGCAATATAATTCAACACATAAGCAGCAATTTACCTTAATTCTATCAGTATGTAGGATAATTCACTTTGAAAATTCTCTCATCAAACATTTAAAAAAAAAAAAGGTAAAAATCAAAAAATCGAGCTCCTTGTTGAAGTTTTGTGGATAGAGACCATTTTTTTAGCAAGGAAATACATCAAATTGCAAGGCAATAAACTATGGGGCCTCTAAAATGCTAGGACTTGACTCACTTCAACTACTGCATTAAAATCCGGAACTTATGATTGAAAACAGAACACCAGAAAACAAATAAAATGTGAAAATTTAAACACAAATATAAGGAAATCAACACAAAATGGAGTTTGCAGAAAACATTCACCAGTAAAATGTGTGTATATATTCATAGAGAACAACACATATAACATTTGGAGATCAATAATTTCCTATAAACAGACCTACTGCATTAGCAACTATAATTAATTAAGCATAAAAATACAACTGTAATTAAGCATAAAAAACAAGGAGATGCTACGGTCCCGTTACGGAACCATTCTGTCGGGGTTTATAACCATTAAATTATCTATCCTCGACGGTTACATGATGATCTAACGGAACGTAAAGGGATCGTAGCATTTCCCTAAAAAACATTAAAAGCTGTTAATCATCATATGGGTCAGTGTCAAAGCCAAGTAAATCTCTAAAGACAAAACTAAACATATGAACAGAACAAAGAAAAAGGACAATTACCTCAGACCCACATCTTGTAACAAACCCAAACTCAAGAAAACATCATGGATTAAGATCATACAGTTGTATTGTATCTCTCCAAGAACAGAGGACCTAGGTATGTGAAAAGGCTTTCACAATAAACAAGTAAATAAAATAGATAAAAAATAATAATAATAATGGTACAAATTAAGAAGGAAAATGGAAGTAGCACCGAATAATAGGAAAATTAAACAAATATATAAGAAAATAGCTCCATTGATGAAGCTCAGATCCTCATCAAATTCAATTAGAGATCTTTCGATCTGCTGGGCCACTCTCTCTTTCTCTCTCTAACCTCTCTTTTCTTGAAGACTTGAAGAGAAGAACTAAAAAGGCAGCACCTTTAGAAATGGAGAAATGTGAGGAAAAATAGAAAAGTATATAAAATGGGCACACAACTGTATATATTTAATAGTACTAATCAACATTTAATAATCATTTTTCAAGAGAGAGGGTTTAGAGAGATCCCAGAAAAAGAAATCTTCACACAAACAATTGAACAAACGACCTTCCAAGAACAGTGACATGAAATTTGTCAACATCTGGTCTCTCTCTCTCTCTCTCTCTCTCTCTCTCTCTCTCACTAAAACCCACATCAAGAAAAAAGATGATTTTTATTCTCTGCTTCTCTCTCTCTCTCTCTCTCTCTCTCTCTCTCTCTCTCTCTCTCTCTCTCTCTCTCTCTCACTCACACTAAAACCCACATCAAGAAAGAAGATGAAAAGCGAGAAAAAATACACCCTCGAACTAAAAATCAAATCTTGGAGTGTATAATTTCTGAATTTTTGCAATAGTGAAAAGGAAAAAGTAAAGGAAAAAAAAAAAAAAAAATTGGTATTTCTAGATTCTCTCCTGCTTTGTTGCCTTTTGGTACAGATATTAATGAAAATTTAAGACCACGATATAAAACTGCCTACCTTTATTAATACCATCATTTATGCAAATGGGAATATGAAAATATGGAAATAAGTTTACTATCACCATATATTTAGTCTATTGATATAGTCATACTCGCATAGACCGGAATGTTACGTGGACCGAACTAAGTGTTGATAGCTCGACCAGGTATTAAGTAGAGATATGGCATGTCGACTCGAGTTAGGCATGTTGACTTGGGACGATTGCCATAGGGTGATAATGATTCGAGATCCTCGACAACGACTTGTGAGGTAACGACCTGGGAAGATGGGTCTAACCACAAAACAACTCGATACATGCGAAGAGACGAGTAACTCAAAGACCTTGAGGATGATTAAGAATGGCTACCAAGAGGAAGAGCTCTAGAATAGTGGCTTTACTCATTGTTACAAAAAAGTCCAATCGACCTCCCACATCTCGAGGTCGACTGCATTCACCTTGCAGCTCGAGGTTTATCTCAATGAAGGTCGTAGTTCGATATTCCACATGCTTAAAGGATAAAATGAATCTTAAATGGATAAGATGAAATTTTAAGGTAACTAGGATCTGACTACGAAGTGATTAGGATATGGATAAGCATTAAGGATCGGGCAGCTGGGTATGTTGACCGCGGGCACTCGGGCAGAACATTTCAGGCAGGTATTTTCCCTATAAAAGGGATTGAGGTATCATCATGCAGCTTTATGTTCTCCATATATTTCATACTGCTCTCTTTACAAAGCATCACCACCATCTTCTTGGCACTGACTTAAGCATCGGAGGCTCCTCCCGGAAATCCCTCCGGCGTTGAGTTCTGCAGGTGTTCGTGGCGGTTCAAATAGATCAGAGCTCATTTCGACCTGTTCGACTCAAATCTAGGGAGGACTCATCATCTATTATTAATAGTATAAAAATGTATCTTCTTTACATTACACTATACACATATGTGAGTACATATACATATATAACTACAGTAAATGTTCACCTACCCACGGTGGACACATGTTAATATGTCCACCGTTTATGTGGCATGCACACATTGATGATGTATTTTTTTGAACATATTAACATCACCAATGTGTGCATACCACATAAGCGGTGGGCATGTTAACATGTGCCCACCGTGGGTAGAGGAGCATTATCCTATATAACTATATGCAATATTAATTGCAATACTTTCCATTTTCTTAAATTTTTTGTTACTTTCTCAT